AATATCCTTCTTACAGCAGGGTTGCCAGAACTGTACACAGCACTCCAGAAAAGGTCGAAGCCACTTTTCAGGGTATTTGGTCAAACTCAGCATACTTATATCCCTTATTTATGTTTTTGATTCCGCAAGCAGTTAAAATGACTAGTCTGCATAGGATGGTGCACCAGATTCAATTGTTTATTAGCCAGAATGGACATCAAGACGATATATGTCAGCCTGTCTCTATCTTTCAAATCTTTATATTTTGCATACTCGTAAAAGTAAAAGTGCTGCCATCCCTCAATGTCTGCAGCAAGGAAGAACAACTTGTAATTTTTTTCAAGTTGCTTTTGTACTTCCATCATTCAAAGTTCCTTCTAGACAAGCTGTTAACTTCTTCAAGCTGAGGGGTATAGCGGTATATTGTGAACTCCTGATGGCTTCAAATGAGTGTTTTCAAGAAGGCAGGTTGGCAGAAAAGAGAATATTTGGGGAAGGTGTTAAGTTTGCAACAGCTAAAAAAAAATTCTGTGTCTTTTTAGGCTATCCATTGTACTCCCAAAGCTGTGGAAAGCCTGATAGTGGCAAAAGACTGGAGACAGCTCTGAAACAAAGCCAGTTAGTGGCTGAATAGATAACCATGGACAAAGAACATACAAGAGAAGGTGGTGGAACAAAGAGGGGAGGTAGTGACACTTGGAGTCAGATGAACAGCAGAAGAATGACATAATGGAATTGGAAGTCCCAAAAGTGTACTAGGAGGGGACTAACACAAGTCAAAAGCTGTACGTTTGCAGAGAAGTTTCGAAGGGATGAAGAGGAATGGTTTTAAACCTGTCTATCTAAGTGAGTGACATGTGAGATCAGCTGGAGTAACTGCTGAAGGTAATCTCGGGAACAAAATAAAGCAAAATATCAAAATTAAAAGATACTAATTAATTATTAGTTTTAAAATTAATGTACTCGCCTTGGCACAAGAAAATCAGAATGACCTCAAAGAGTTTATCTTGAGAATCAAAGAAATTGCTCCATGGTGCTACCTGATGTACAAAGTCTGTTATTACACTGAACATGGAGGTTCTAATACGTTGGCAAATCTGAAGAGGACAGGCTTTAGTCAAGAACTATTGAATAGAAAAGTGATGTAACTTAACTAAATAATATCGGTATTATTTGAAGACTAACATCTAGCAATGCTCTATTATTTACATTCCTGAGAAGTTGCTTTATTATATATTTGAAAAACAATCAGTGATCTCAAGATTCCAAAAACACTAAGCTTGCAGTTGTTGCTATACACTGTTACTGATTGAAAACAATGGGGCTGTGTCTAAAGTGCCTGCACAGCTCCAAACTGCAGCCTCAGTTCTCCCAGGAGCTCATTTCCCCGAAGAGTCATTATTGCAGCAGGAACCAGCAAATCCAACAGAGATTGCTCGAAATTACCTTTGTAACCCAAAATTGCTATCTGTTAATTCAGAATGGAATACAACTAACCAACAGAAATCCATGCCTCAAAAAATATGTCTGCAAATTTTATCAAGCCTTTCTTACAAAACAAAGATAAGCAGGATTAATGCCGGCAGAAAATGCCACAATGGCTCGTATAAAAACATAAAGAAAATGAGCTGGAATAAGCCAGAAATGTAGAAATACTGTTGAGCTGCATTCAGGCAGTAGTAAGTGTTTGGAGGCAGCCAAAATCTACCAAATGGGTTTTAAATTAGAGACCGTGATTAGATGGAGAGGAACAAAGAAGTCTACCAAGTGGAAACACTTGAAGTTGGGTGTTCCAGGACAATGAACATAAAATTCCAACTAAATGCCAGATCAATTGAAAATAAGAGATAACAAGGTGTAGAGCTGGATGAACACAGCAGGCCAAGCAGCATCAGAGGAGCAGGAACGCTGACGTTTCGGGCCTAGACCCTTCTTCAGAAATGGATTCTGAATCTTCAGAGATTTCTGAAGAAGGGTCTAGGCCCGAAACGTCAGCTTTCCTGCTTGTCTGATGCTGCCTTGGCCTGCTGTGTTCATCCGGCTCTACACCTTGTTATCTCAGATTCTCCAGCATCTGCAGTTCTCTCAATTGAAAGTTGAAAATAATTGAAAATAACCTCTTTTTATATAAAGAACTGAAGTTCAGTTCCTGAACCAAGTACAGATCAAGGGAAAAAAAATACAGCCACAGCCTTATCTTAAATCTATGGTTTTACGATCTCTTTCCAAAACTAACTGACTTTGAATTGACAAGCACTCACCCAGTGACAGAAAAGACAGCAGTCAACCATCCTGAATACTAGTCCTCCACTCAAAAATACACTCTCGAACATATGAATGAAAACATAAACATCCCAAACAACCCTCCCCGTTGCTGAGTTATCATCACTGAATTGTATCCTACCTACCCAAATAGTCACTAATTACTGTGTAATCTAATTAATGGTCAGTCGAAAAGATATGAATGTTAATCCCCCGTGCAGGGTATTGACATAAACCATTTATAATACCTATCCCTTCTACAGCTATGTCCAGAATCTACAGCAATGTAATCTTCATCCCTTCAGCCGTTGAACAGTAACCTTAGGTAATGAGTCAAATTCACACTTAGCCCTTCCACATCTCACAAAATTATCTACATTTCCCCTTTACACTCCAGTGTCCCCACCCCAAAGGGCTGAAAATGATCAGAGGTGTAGAGTGAGCACAGTAATCTTCACCACCATCCCCCAAGCTTAAAACACATCCCTCATACAATAGAAATATCTACTCCAGCCACATGCCATTTTCCCCACTGAGCACACAGTGCTCCATTATGCTTGTCCACCGCCCTGATGATCTTTTGAAAGAGCTATTTATACTTATTCTAGATATTATATGAAGTACACACGTGTTATTTGTTGTTCATTTGTAAATTTGTTGGATTCATACTGGTCTGATATGGGGGCTGATTTGCTTTGAATGTTAAGAGAAATCCAGTGAATTTGATTTAGATCCAATTGGTCAGGGAATTTTAACATGATATTTTTATAAATCTGGAAAGGTCACTAGAACATCCATAAATACTGGGGCCAGTGAGGTTTTTTGTGAAGTCATGAGGATTTTATAAGCTCACTTGTGAGAGTAATCAGATCAGAAGGGCAGAAAATAGTCAAAAATATAACAGTGCCACATTCCTGAATGGCTTATACTTTCTTCAGGTTTCCCTTTTTCTCCTTTCTTTCATTTCTTTTCTCTTTTTCCTTTCTTTCTCCTTTTATTCATGTAGTGAATACTGAATAAATTGGGACTAAGGAAAATTATAATTCTGCCCTTTGTATGTAGATAATGATGAAAGATCTCCTGCCTCAATAAAGTTTCCCACTTCTCTTTGTCTGTTAAACCAGGGCTTCTTAGGCTTCTAATCTGCCCTTTTTGTTTCTTTAATTCTGGCTTTGTAATGTCCCCAGGCCTGCATTCAGATTTTAAAATGCTCTTGTGGCCCTTGAGTTCCAATAGTGTACCCATGCCTTATGGTGCCTGCTTGCTATAGCATGATGCGTTATCTGAGTTGTAAGTACTTTTTTCCTATATTCCACCTACCTCATCATCTAATTCTGTGTTTTTTGAAAAAAAAGACTGAGTACAGGATTTTAATCTTACTCACAGAGCATCTGATGTCTATTCTGGATGCCAACTCGGAACTGCTCCTACAGATTACCAACAGCAGATGCAATCTGTAACTGCCTTAGACTGGCTGATAGTCCAGCTCTAAGTGTTCCTAACTCTTCTGCTGAAGTACGTATCTCACCAGTTCGGAAATGGTTTTACTATTGAAGTAGGTTCTGCCTTGTTCAACCTCCCCATGAGATTCTTGAGTATTCATTCTTTCTTGCTGTTGACTATCTACATGGGCAGGATTCTTAAAGTTGTCATGGATTCTTAAAGCTGAGTCACAGAATCCCTACGGTGTGGAAGCAGGCCATTTGGCTCATCAAGTTAGCACCAACCCTCCGAAGAGCATCCCACCCAGACCTACATCACTACCCTATCCCTGTAAGCCTAGCTAATCCAGCTCGCCTGCACATCCCTGAAAACAATAGGCAATTTAGCACGGCTAATCCATCTAACCTGCACATCTTTGGATTGTGGGAGGAAACCGGAGCACGCGGAGGAAACCCATGCAAACACTGGGAGAATGTGAAAACTCCATGCCCGAAGCTGGAATCAAACCTGGGTTCCTGGTCCTGTAAGGTAACAGTGCTAACCACTGAGCCACCATGCCGCCCACGGTGTCTGAAGAGCTCATCAGACTCCTACCGTTGCCAGCAGGTTTTATGAAGTTGCTAAATGGAATCCATATCGCTGCTCGCCATAAAAAAACGAAAGAACTGCAGATGCTGTAAATCAGGAAACAAAGCAGAAATTGCTGGAAAAGCTCAGCAGGCCTAGGTAGCATCTGTGAAGGAAAAAACAAAGTTCTGAGGAAGGGTCACCGGACCCGAAACGTTAATTCTGTTTTTTTCCTTCACAGATGCTGCCAGACCTGCTGAGCTTTGCCAGCAATTTCTGTTTTATTTTGCTGCTCACCATGTTCTTTGAGCAATCTTCAATGCAGATCACCTTGTTGTCTGACATTATCTGCACAATTGCTCACCATGGGGTAGGTATGCCACCATCCTCTTGTAAGGTAAGGTTCTGAGGGACTAAGGGACTGCTTGGCCTGGTGTGGAAAAGGAAAACCATAAGCCGCTGTAATGAGAAGAGGATCCCGTCATAAATGAAATGTATATAAGCAACTATGTACTTTGATAGACGTTGCTACAGAGACTGTGAGGCTGACAGGATCTCAAATGAGAAAGACCTAAGCTGTCCTTCCACTCAGGCCTTTTGAGATAAACATAGGAGCCATGCTCAATGTGTTCTTTGATGTTAGCCCTTTTAGAATCTTACCCTCTGTATGACATAATATAAATTTTTCTTCTTGTTAATGCCTAATTCATGTCATCCTTTGTCTAATCAGTGACGGGCCTGTTTTTCAGATGTGCGTGGACTATATCAACAGTACCTTGACAGTAGAATCTGCCTGTGAAGCATTACAGGTGAGTCCTGAACAGTTTATTTGATCCAAGACAACAAGGTGCAGGGCTGGATGAACACAGCAGGCCAAGCAGCATCATAGGAGCAGAGAGGCTGACGTTTCGGGCCTAGACCCTTCATCAGAAAAGGGGGAGGGGAAGGGGGTTTTGAAATAAATAGGGAGAGAGTGGGAGGCGGATAGAAGAGGGATAGAGGAGAGGATAGGTGGAGAGGAAACAAACAGGTCGAAGAGGCGGGGATGGGGCCAGGAAAGGTGAGTGTAGGTAGGGAGTTAGGAAGGGGATAGGTCAGTCCAGGGAGGACGGACAGGTCAAGGGGGCGGGATGAGCCACTTACATTGTTATAAATTTCCTTTACTAGTCATCAGAGGCTGGAGATTAAATTTATATTTTTATTGACCCTTTTCTTGGTTGTATCTGTAGAAGGCTGTAACTCCCCTTAACCATGGGTAATATGATACTTAGTGGTTTGAATCCACTTTTACTCAATTTTTCTTGGGCTATTTCCATGTTAGTTGTTCCTTCTCAGCTTTAACCATGGGAAACCACTAACACAACAGCTCAGGAAATAGCTAACATTTTGAGCTGTACCTACAGGAGCAGGAGTGCATTTTTTGCAACTACAATGGAAATTTGGGCTACTACAAGCCCATCTGAGGCCCTCCTAGGACTGCCTTGTTTCCATCCAACCCCCCAAATCATAAATGGTTCTGCAATTCCAGCTATAGCTTTCCTATGTTCTCAAATAGCTTTTTTTTTGGAAAAGAAACACATCAGGGAAAATCTTAGAGTTTAAAATTTTGCTAAAGATTATTGAAATTGAAGCATTTATACGTTACAAATTGCCACCTTGTTACATTCCCATGGAACTGCTGCTTTTGTTTGGAATTAAAATGTGCGGTAGTCCAAGTAATTCCGTGCATCTATTAAAATGTTGGAAAAAAACAGAGCTAACGTTGCGGGTCCAGTGACCCTTTCTCAGTTCTGAGCAAGGGCCACCGGACCCGAAACGTTAACTCTGTTTGTTCCTTCACAGCTGCTGCCGGACCTGCTGAGCTTTTCCAGCAACTTTGTTTTTGTTCCTGATTTACAGCATCCACGGTTCTTTTGGTTTTTATTAAAATGTTGGAACAGTCTTGGGTAGCTGAAAATCTTCTTATCATTTGTTACAAAGTATTTTCCTCGACTGAGGTACTGAAAGGCTGATGGCAGAGATGGAACTGTACCCCAGTGAAAAGAAATTGAAGGGAGGTGTTGAAGATGTAGTTCCCTAATATAGAAACAGTAGCCTTCAACTACAAACAGAAAGCTCTTTCTCCTTGGTATGACACTTGCTTGGTCATTTGTCAAAATGTACTGTGCTTCTTAAATAAATTTCCAAAGGAACATAGGATCAGCAGTAGAGTATCCAGCTCGTCAGTCCTGCTGATAGCTAATCATCTACCTTAGTACCATTTTCCTGGCTTTTTTTTATGATGCCCTTAACAATCGAGAATCTGTTGATCTCCGTTTTGAACATATGTAACACCTGAGCTTACACATCCTTCCAGGATCAGAATTCCAATCATTCACTCAAATAAAACAAAGAGCTACGGATGCGGAAGATCTGAAATAAAAACAGAAATTGCTGGAGAAACTCAGCCGGTCTGGCAACATCTGTGGAGATGAAAGTAAAGGGGCGGGTCAAGAACAGAACAGAAGGGGTACTTTTTGAAAACCCAGAAGAAATGTTGGCCCACACAGTCAAGGTGACGACTGTCTTGCTTCTGTCTAATTTGTTATTGTTGTTACCAGAAGTTCAATTCTAATGGGGTCTCTGCAGGGCTCACACACTGAATCATTGCTCCATCGTTGACTACATGTTCTTGATGCTGTGCTCAAATACAGCACAGAAATTGAAATTGAATGCCTCTAATATTGTGCACAAGCTCACTGGCAGGCAGCTCAATACAACTAGAATGTCCTTGTGGATTGTTATCAATCTTATTGGATGGTAGGCTCCTAACTTTGCCATCAGGGCTAGAATGTGAGCTTTCAGTTGTAATGGTTGTTTCCTGCCCCATCATAACTCATCTCTTTTGCTCCTGCACAATCATGCATATCACTATTTGCAGTGGCATCGGTCTCTAATTGCAGCCCGCCATGATGAGTAGAGTGGACTGTACATGAGGAGGGCTCAAGATAGCAGTTAGCAGCTAGAGGATCGTGTGAGAGGGGAACCCAGCAGCAGGTCTTTGAAACAGACAGGCAGCAGCATCTAGAGGAGTGGGTGAGAGAAGGGCACTGAGATAGCAATGTGAAAGAAACACTAACCTCACAGAAAAGCAATAAGTTGATTGGCTGGTGAGTAACTGTTCTTAGGGAGAGTGTGTAAATAATTGGAAATTAGAAAAACACAAACAGTTAAATATTTTTATTTTATTTTACATTATAAAGGTCTATACTGCGTTACTAATTCTCTCAAACTTGCCCGTCATTCAATAAGATCAAGGCTGGTCTGCCATAGGCCTCAACTCCTCTTTTATGCCATCTCCACATAGCTGTCAACTACCTCATATTTCAAAAACCTGCCTACCTTCCCTTTAAATAGTTTCAGTGATCTAGCCTCCACAACTCTCCTGGGTGGAGAATTCCAGATATTCACTACCCTCTGGGAGAAACACTCTACAAATTTGCAAAGATAAGTGGTAGGTTAGAGGACCAGCAAAGAATGACTAAGAAGGTAATAAAGAAGCAGAAAGCAGAGTGAGAGAGAAACCTGCCTAGTAATATAAAAACAGTAAGTTATTTGCATTCGGAATTGCAATCGGAGTAATTAATCTTGTGTTGGTCTGTTCATAAAGTGAGTCTGAGTAATTGATAATGAACAATAAAGAGATGGTGTAAGAGAGGCCAGAGTACAATGTTGAGAAATGTGGCAGAATCACAGAGAGGCCTATCTCAGTGTTGGAAACAACTGACGGCCTCTATTAGCTAAGTTCCAGATGTTGAAGCAAAGGTCTGGCTAGGTGGTGGCGAGGTGCCTATTAAAGGGGATTATACTTTTTAACAATATTAACAAGTGCAGATCTCACGCCATTAATTTGCAGTTTCCTGTCATATCTTTTACCACAAGGAAATGGACACCAAGATTTCTCGACATAGGAGTCAGAGCAGGTACCTGGCAAGTTCAGCTCTCCACATGCTTCAAATGACCTCCATTTCTGACACCATCACTAGCACCTCAGGGCACGCTCCACGGGCATTGACCACATCCACAGATATTGGTGTTCAACAAGTGCAGCCTCTTAAAAACCCTCACGTTACATCTCTGATCTACTTACAGTGCTTCTACACTTCAATGGAGCACTGTCAGTGTAATGCTGCAGCAGGAACACTTTGTGCTCAGGGACACATACCAAGCTCATTGACTGGACCAAGCTGCAACTCCAGCCTGCTTGCTTGCTGTCTCAGTGCTCATTCACTCTGAGTTGATCTGGATGGTCACAGCATTCCTGACTTGCCTTTTTTGCCTTTTCTCCAGACCAGATATCAGGCTCTCAGTGTTGTTGTATCGCTGTGTCATTTAGCGTAGACGTAAAGCCAGGAAACTTGTCATGGTTGTCAGCAGTCCTCAGTCAAGTCAAGTGAGATGGCCTTTAGAACAAAGTGTCCTGTAAGTCAGTAATTCAAGGGTAGGCTCTGATACCGGCCCAGGTGCTTGGACAAGGTTGGTAAGCTGCTTAGGATGGTTAGAATTAAGGTCTGCTTTTCCTAAGAGTAAGGAACCAAATATTGGGCAGCCCACCAGCCATCTTGGCACTTTCTGCCCGATAGGGGGGCTGTTTTCCCCTGGAATGAAAGAAAAGGAAATAAAAGTGGGTGGCACAGCTGTTAGTGCTGATGTAAGTGGGGAGATGACCCGAGTTTTGATTAGGCAGTACAGAGGACATGCAAGGTTAGCGATGTCTTGGGTGGGTGAAAGCAAGTGAAAGGGAGATGTTGCGTGGAATAGTGAGAACGCTGGAACACGAGCTTTGCTGGGAGGTAGGTACAGTAACAGAGATAACGTAAGTGTGTGGTATTGGAGAGAAATGGTGGCATGTATAGAGAGTGGAGAAGGTAATTGACCTTCTTCCTACATTGCTCTGCATTTCTCTACACGCTGTGGCTGCACTGAGCTGGGTGGCAACCTTGGATTAGGCTGGCACGATGTGGTGTCGTGGCCTCCACTGCAGTTCCTGGGAGAAGAGGATGTCCCACCTCTGCACCACCTCATTCATCAGGACCTCAAGGTCCCTGCCCACAAAGTGAGGTGCCAATTTTCCCCTTTCTGCCATGATTGAGGCAAATATACCATGAGCCGTGCAAAGTAGTTTTGGATTAACAGTGCCTGTCTGAGCACCAAATGGTGTTTCAAAGGTGGCACCAGCATTGCTGGTCAATTCCAGGATTTCCTAGCAATGGGTATTTGTTCCAGGCACAGCGAATGTTAGAACAAGGCTAGATTCAAACGAAAATGGTGGCATAGAGACAAGGGTATGCAAATTTGGTAAAATGTGGTGAGAGAACTAGCTAGACCTCGTGACGAGAAACCATCAGTGCAACTGACTGCCAAAAAACACAAGGTTCGGTCCTTTGTGTCTGTTTCCATGGGAGAAAACCTCCTAAAGATAATTGAAAGCCAAGAGGTGATTAGGAAGGATGAACTTAAAAGAATTACCATCACATGGGAAAAGACAGTAAGAAAACTGTTGGACTTAGAGTGTAGCAAACGCCAGGATAGGATAGCCTGCATCTTTGGGTGTTAAAAATGTGGCAGCACCAATATTAGATGCATTGGTAATAATTTTTCCAAAATTCCTTAGATCCTGAGACAATATCAGTGGAATGGAAAATAGCAAACAAGGGAGACAGAAAGCAGGAAACTATAGGCCAGTTAATCTAATATCTGCCATTAGGAAGGTTCTGGAATCCATTGTAAAAGTGGTTATTGCATGATGCTTAGAAAATCACGATGCAGT